TAACACGAGTTAGTTCTTCCTTTTGGTGAAAGCTGGGCTCTTCAGTTCAGCATGGTACAGCTCCAAAGATTCTGCAACATCAAACCCTCTGTTTGCTAATGTTACATCACCTGGGCTGAGGTAGTCCAGGTAATTTCAACAGTTTCCTATTTTGTTTTTAAAGTTTATATATAAACAAAAAAAGAAAAGTAACATTTGTCACTCTCTATCTTCACGATGGAAGATTCATTTTCATCTCATAAGTGTTAGCAACAGTTCTAGAAAAGGAGACAGGTTTGTTCCAGTGTGCAGAAATGTTATTATAAATGTTCAAACTACTGCGCTGTAAAATCTATTTTGTTCCCAGAACTCAAAAAACTATGTAAACTCGTTACCTCCAAAAAATTGAGTAAAGTTTACTTAAGATGACTGTTAGGACAACTTATTCATTGCAAGTATGCAGTACTAAGAATAACTTGATGTTCCTGAAGGTGCATTATGAATTGTTTACCCACTGACAAACATTTTGAGTTCTACTAAATGAAAAAACAATTTGTGGTAACCTGATCATGATTTAAAAAGAATGATTAACAACACTTCTTGTAATGGTGTTAAAATCAGCCCAGTGTTTATTTTCAAATGCAAAAAAACTGCCGCCATCTGTTGGCAACTATGACACGTTTAGAATCGTATGACCACTTTGTCCTTTGATCCTAAAGAATACTTAAACAGGGGTGAGACACAACCACTTTTAGTCCGTTATTTGCAGCATTTATGTTCGTAGCGTTCAAACATTCGCCAGAGAAATCTTTTAAAACATTTGGATCCTATTGAGAGTGACAGTTTACAGATTCAAACATGTCTCAGAGAAAAATAAAGAAAGAAATCCTCGAAGAGAACGAACACCTGAAAATAAACCAGAGAGACTTGCAGTGCCAACTCCAAGACATGGAGGAGAAATACAGAGCGCTGCAGGTAAAGCCTGATGAAAGACCGCACACAAAGGAAGACTTTCTTCAAGAAAAAAGGCTACAGGAGATAAAACAGAAGGAAATGGATTTCAAGCTTCAGGACATGG